CAATATAAAAATAAGAAGATGATAAGTTTATAAAGTTTGATGTTAGGTCCATAAGGCATGAGAAAAGTTTTGGCGGTTTCTACGGGTTGGGGTTTATGGTGCTATATAAAGTTTGGCATTTAAATGTATTAGTATCGAAGGTGCTCGCAGTTACGTCGAATCGAAGTTAGTCACATTAGTATACAGTTGCTGTTACGTTTATTACATGTATTTATATGTTTTTAAATCATGGTAAAAAATTGTGCAATTATTTTTAAAAATTGTATCGCAAGAGCAACTAAATCCTATTTCTGTGTTTGTATTGTTTATAGCCAATTGAATTTAAAGTAGAAATACTTTAAATTCTGATGAGCAGGGCGAGGGAACATTTAATGCTTTTGATGTCATTGTTTACTTTTACTTAGTATACGAACAAATTTGCAGAAATAAAACTTTGGTGAAAGAGAAATATTTGTAGACTATTTTGAGCCAAAATTAACTTGTACATGATTTTGCATTAAAAATTGAGGATTAATGTGCTCCATAGTATACTTATCTAAAATTTCCAGAAAACTAGGGTTTTTTTTAGTAGCAGTTGAAATCCGAACGGTGGTGTATCACTGCAAGACTTTAAACATTGGTTGAAAATTGGCATATAGAAGGTGATACATGTACAATTCAAAACATATATGTTTTCTATGAAGTTAAACGTAAGGTAAACTATTATAAAAGCTGTGAATTTTTTTTTTAAAGTTGATTTTATAAGGGTTTTGAATTGTGGTCTGACACCATAAGAAATAAACTGACTACATATCAAAAAAATGAAAACATGTTATAAAGCAGCACTAGCATATGATTGAAATTAAGGAATGTGATAATTTAATCAATTCACACATGACAGTTAAACAATATTTTTTAATAATCTCCAAATTTACTAGTTTGAAAATAAGGAGTTGTGGTATGTTTGCCAATGAGTAAACTATACACCCAAGTTCAAATGAAGTGAATGTAAGCAACCGTACAGCCTTTAACAATGAGAAAACCCGTACCGTATAGTCGGCTATAAAAGGCCCCGACATGAAAATATGAAAAATAGTATCTTTCTTTAAGTTTGATATAATAGAAATTAAGGAGATGATGCATTAGTTATGAATCAAAATCCCAGCACACATCCACTAGATGAAATCAAAAATAGCCTCCTTGAGTCACAGTGAGACCATTCGTTTAGAAACAGAATCTCCGATCTTACTGGACGTTCGTGGCGACTCGCTCCGGTCCTTTAGTTTTAAAGCAGAAGACTATAAAAGTTTTCGACGTTGGGTAGATTGGGGATAATTGATGAGAGAAAATCACAATGGCCTCTATGCGAGTTAAAAAGAGAAATGAGGTTTCGTGAAAATATATAAATGATCTTTATATACCTTTAAGGATATTTATTTGCTTTTCTGTAACCTTTAAACGATATAATTAACTCCAACAATTGTTCAAATATATTATTCATTTATTTATTTTATACCTGTTGTCGTAAAATGAAGAGTAGGCTAATTTGCAAAAGTCTAAACTCGTACTGCAGCTCGTTGATCACAATTAACAATCCTTCTCCAGCATGTCTACAAAATTCAAAGAGTATACAATGTTAACATCGCGTAGACGACACAAGAATTTACGTAAGGTAAGAGTTCATAATCAACAGTTCTTTGAACCTGCTAACAATACCATGTATAAATATGCATTGAAAGAGATGTGGGTACAAGTCAATGAAACATCAATAAAAAACATTCTGAGGTCAACATACAGTATCCAACAAAATACAGGTGTCTATACATATGACAAGTTCTAAATCGCCTCTTTTGGAAAATGAATGATTTGACGGAGACTAATAACAGATGCATGCATGCAGTCTTGATACAGCATTTTAAAGTGTTGATTTTATTTGTATTGGTTTATGGTGATGTCTATATGTTTATTATTATCACTTACATTGTTGGTTGCATTTCATCGCAATTCCCCAACGTCCGCTTTTATTCATAACATTGCTTTTTTTCAATGTAATTAAATGGATAATAAACCTGTACTTAACATCCAGTGGCAAATATTTCATGCACATCCAAGCTGAAAAGGTGTAAATAATATGCACCTCATCAAAAGTGAAATGTAGATGGGAAGGAGACAGATACTTATTATCATAAGTGACAATTGCAAACAAAAACGCATCGTGCAGTGGCAGAAATCTAGCATTTCAACAATGGCCACCTCCGGATCGTGTGCAGATTCTGATACGCGCATAGAGTACATTGATATTCATTTAACAGTTTCTTTTGATCAGCTGTTCAAAATCAGAAGAAAATATGATACTACAAAAATATTACAGGCTCATGATATATATTTCAACATCAAGATGAAGTCGTAATCAGTCATTTCGTCATCCAAATTGATAAATCGTCATGACGCTTTTCTAATACTAAGAAACAACTTAGTATGTGTTGAATTTGAGATAGGATTTAGAGAACTTTAAGGTGTGTCAATTTAGAGTTAGTAGACTTTTTAGCAGTGAATATCTCGAAGATTACCGCAAATAAGTTAATTATTTGTCCTGTTCCTGGTGAAAGTATACCAAGAAAGAAGATAGACGCACAAATTTAAAAAGAGTTACTTTCATTTTCTCGGATTCAACACCTCAGGAAAAGTTGACCATGGATGCATTGGCTATTTTTTTTATGTCCCTTTTTTATTTGTTGGGCCTTTGCGCGTTTCTTGACGAAAGTCAATCCAAAAAGAACTTCGAACGCACCTAATGTATAATGAGTTATTTTCATAAACATGGTAACGTCCGCAATATGACACTCAACAGTCTTTAATCAATCAATCACGTATTAGATACAATACAAAGGTAACAAAGAAACAGGCCGGTAACAACCGTTGCCGGATAGTTTTTATGCACGAGTAGTCAGGTCAAGGTCCGAGGCGATAGCCGAGGACCTTGACCTGACTACAAGTGCAGAAAAACTATACGGCAGGTTGTTTCCGGCCTGTTTTTTTTGTTACTTTTGTTTTGTATCTGACTTGTACGACGTTTCAAGAAAGTAATAATACATTTTGCAAGACTAAATATTTGAGAAACTTAGATAGCCATAAAGCAGTAAATGTAAGTTATAGTATAAACACATTTTTTTTTTCATTTCCCTTTAACCGAGAGTTTTTTCAAGAAAAAAATCAGGAATCTAATAATTTGATAAAAAAGAACCATATCAAGTAAAAGATGAATGTTGTACACATTTAAGACTTTTTAAAATGCAACTTCGTAAAAAAGTAATATATTAAAGAAATATTTTAGTGGTAAGTAAGCTAACGTTTGATTTTTATGGATGAAACGGAAAGCGGGGAGGGGGCCTAATTTAATTTAAAATAAACATGCTGTGATCTTTATTTTGATGAAAAAATGCAGAATGTGCCATTCCATCCCCCCATTCCCCCTTTAAAAAAATCGTAAAAATCGCACGTTTGTTGCCAAATACATGAATTCAATATTCAGTGGTGGGGGTCCCGGGGGTTGTAACACCCCTTTTTTGAACGATCAATACATTTAAATGGGGACATATAGTTGGACCCCCCCCCCCCTTTTTGTCCTGGATTGGGAACCCCCTTTTTTTAAAATGGCTGGATCCGCAACTGATATATATGTATATATAAATTCAATAACAATATAAATGTATCAAAAGAATGAATTTCCTACTTCATTAGTGAATGAAATGTTATGAAAAAATGGATTTTGTCTTAATATTATATATATTCAGGCATATACTTTGATTTTTTTTTAAATTCATGCTCGTCTCTAGATCTGCAAGTGTTGATCGGGATTAAACACGTGTTACTATATGGTCCAATCGCAGCTTACCGTCCAAAATTGATGACATAAGTTGAATGATTTTCTTCTAGATTTGCTGCTTATTTGGACGTGTATTACACGAACACTTTTTTTTATAGGATCAATCGTGCATTGGTGAGTTGATAGGGATTTTATCTTTTGATAAGATTTGATTTTTATTTACTTATTTCCTGTCTTTTTTTTATTGAAATATGAACGTCGGTATCATCATTTCTTTACTTTCAGCATTGTCCAAAATACTATTCATGTCCATATATCGAAGAAAACATTTATTGACCGATTATTTTGCTTCATAAATGGGGCGGTATGTTCTTTTCTGAGTATATTAACTATTTACTTTTCAACGCCATCACCCAAATATTTTTGTTTAAATTAGCACTATACGGTATTCGGAAAATCAGGAATCATGCAGAACATTAATTTGTCATCTGCTTGACCATAGTAAATTTTTTCTCATAAAATTTGGGATCAAAATATCTTTTTTTAGGAGAAAACCATACCCCCCCCCCCCCCCCCTTTTTGAAGTTAAATGTCTAATCCCTTAGTGTACTGATATGAATAGTATTTTACTGAAAATGTTTGAAAAAAGATATTGATGCTAACGTAAATATTTTGTTTAATAAAAAGACAGGAAATATGTCGGTGAACCAAAAAGTTCAAATCTAATTGAAAGTTAAAGTGCCCATGAACTCACTGATCACGCACGAGTGAATCTATTCATAAAAAGTGTCCGTGTAACAACTAAAAAGAGTCCGTGTATCATCTTAAAAAGAGCCGTGTAACACCCGTTAATGTACTGTTTTTCTATAGCTCTGCGGGGGGCAAAGTCGTACAAAGTCCGATACTCTTCCAATCTTTACCTTCGTTGTTTTCTTCTGAGAACTCTAATTTGTAGACTTGTGCTAACGTCCCCGATTGATCATAATCAGTGAAGACGAGAACAAGTTTATCAACAGATATCTTTTCCTGTAGTTTTGTAATAAAATATGTAAAGACATCAACCTTCGAAAAATTTTTGTTTTCTCTTTTGTATTTGTTCATTCAAATTTAAAACATTATTTTTATTCATACATGCATGTAACAGTCTGTATGTGTATGCATAAATTTCTGACATTGGAGAGACGATAAAAATAAAACCATTTAAAACCACCGTAAAACATGTGATATATTGAATTTAGTATTTTATCAAATTCACTTTACCTGAGAAGTGTGTATATAACACCTGTAAACATTATGGCTTGTTTGATTAGAATGGACTACATTTTTATACAAGGGCAGAGTGCATATGTAAAACAAAAGCAAGTATATCGATTAAATACTATATGTACTTTTGTTAAAAACTATTTCTTTTAATTAATGTTAAAGAGTTGAAAGAATAAATACATGCATGTTTGAAAAGTAAACAAAACACTTCGAATTTATTGCATATTGGTATTTACTAATTTTACTTTATTTACATTGTATATATGTAAACAGACCTATAACCTCGTTTATAACTATACATAGAACGGACAGTCTTTGAAGTCTTATTCAATGTCTTTGCCCTTGTTAAATTATAAATGTGGTTGAAGAAACTGTATGAGGGTCTTGATGAGGTTTATAAAATAGAGAATAATAATGGGACAAGAAAAAATAAAGAATGGAGAAAAATTGGCCAAAAAAAGAAGAAAAGAGAATATTGGGGTGCTAAAATACGAAAAATAGAGAAGAATTGGCAAAAAAATATAAAAAAATAGAGAAAAATAACCTAAAAATTAAAGAATCAGAAATGAAGTGCCCCATCTAGACCGTCCTAAATTACGTAACTGTCAGGTATTGATTAAAAACCACAACAAACAACGTTGCACATGATTAAGATACCTGACTTGGTACAGGTACAAAATGTGATGGCCTTTTTTTTACTTATTCACTTTTAGTCTGTTTTGATAAAGAAGAGGTAATGATAGTTTCAAATATGTTATGGTTGCTTTTCTTGTGTATATGTGAGAGAGAGAGAGAGAGTGAGAGAGAGAGAGAGAGAGAGAGAGAGAGAGAGAGAGAGAGAGAGAGAGAGAGAATTGGTTCCCTAGGCACCGGACCTGGACAGGATCAAAGGGGCTTGTGACACTGTCATCTCCCGGTTCGGAATCAAAATCGTCTTTGTACCGAATACAATCACTACTACATGAATGAAATAAACATGGCTTTGAAGAAAATGATTTTTACTATAACTATGATATTTGTCAGACGGGTTTTATAGGAATTGAGACTTACAATACTGTGTTTTGTTAGCTTTATTATCAAGATAGGATTATTTATTAGATCCCAGCAATAAAAACATATTCATCATATTTGCAAAATCGTTACTAAATCAATAAACAGTCGTGGATAATAGAAAATATAGCAAGTCACAGTGTGAAATAATGTATTAAATGAATATAAAAGGAGCTAAACGAAAGCAGTCATATGATATTTTAAATAAAACCTAGACGAAAGGGGTATTTGTCATAAATATGAATAAAACAACTGTGAGGTATTTGACACCAAAGTAATTCACTAGTGGACCAGTTTTGGTCTGGTAAAGCAAAACAAAACAACACATTCTTATTGGTCTACATGCGATATTCAGTGAAATAAACATGAAAAGGTTTGAAGCCAAAGTAGTTGTAAACGAATTCAACAGAAAGTAGGAAATATATGCCATCGACACCAAATTCCTTCATAGAAAAAACCACTAAGATATCAATAACGACAACCGCTGATGAGATTTTGGAACTGAACCATAGACATTAAAACATATGTTGCGAGTTTAGGTTAGCTTTTTGCGTACTGTTTAGTTCAACGAATAGTACAAATCAAACTTTGGAGAAGGTGCAAATTAGTGAGCATATCTTGCTTCGCATTCCGTTTGAGAATTGTCGGATTTTGAAAAAAAAACGGAAAATTACAATAATTCTAGCTCATTTATCATTGAACTGAAAATGGTACCGGTTTGGAACGCCACAGCGGCCTTATGTAGTACTCTGATATTACGTTATGTTGTTTTATTATTACTTGATGATATTTTGTCTTTAAATAATATGGTTTTGACATTACGTAATGATGTTTTGATATAACTCAATATGGAATAGTCATTCAATATGACTTATTGATATTTCGATTTTACGTGATATGGTTTCGTATTGACTTCATATGGTTTTTTCATTACTTAATATGGTTTTGTCATAACTCGATGTGATTTCATCATTATTTAATGTGGTTGTGTCATTAGGCAATGTGGTTTTAACATTACTTGATGTGTATGTGACTTAACGTTATGTATTTGTTTCATTACATGATGTGGTTTTTTTTTCGTAATGATGATTTGCTAATTCTTCATATGACTTTAACATTACATAATGATAGTTCAAAATTTGAAGATATTACACAAAATGATGTGTTTGTTCCTGTATTTGATGTGGTCCTGTCATTCTTTGATGTGGTTATTACATTACTTCATGAGGTAAAGCCATGTGACCATTTTGGAAAAAAATAGTCTATTTTTAGACCGATTTCCATAATGTGTTTCGGATGAGTGTCGCTATCCATTGAGTTAAAGTTCAAATTAAAGTTCGAGTTGTTGTTAAGAGTTATTTGGTATGAAAAAGGGGAACGGCAGACAAAAATGGGAAAAAAGTACCCAAAAAAAATATCAATATTTCGGACATTATTGGAATATCCCCAAACCACTTGGTCCTGTCGTTTTTTTTCCCCCTTAGTTCTCAAATTGGAAGCAGTATTAGAATAAATGCATGAAAAATTCCACGGAACCCTGTGTCTCGCCTGAAATTGTTGCTGTCATTGTAAAAGTTTAATGTTGATTATAAAACGTCCATTTATCGGTAAAAAACAAAATTAAAAAAAATTGTTTTTTTGTACATGCTTTATCTCGATATAGAAGATTACTCCTATACAAGTTTTATAACGTACAATTCATGGAGGTTTACAAATTTATCATGACAAAATAGTTTAATTTAGACATTAACTCTGAACAATAACTTCAATTTGAACTCAATGGATAGCGACACTCATCCGAATCGGTCTATTTTTACTATTTTTTTTTCCAAAATGGTCACGTGGCTTTATCTCATCAGTAATGTGATAACCACATCAAAGAATGACAGGACAACATCAAATACAGGAACAAACACATCATGTTGTGTAAAATCTTCAAATTTTGACCCATCATTATGTAATGTTAAAGCCATATGAAGAATTGGCAAATCATCATTACGAAATAACAAAACCACATCATGTAATGAAACAAATACATAACGTTAAGCCACATACACATCAAGTAATGTTAAAACCACATTGCCTTATGACACAACCACATTAAATAATGATGAAATCACATCGAGTTATGACAAAACCATATTAAGTAATGAAAAAACCATATCATGTTCATACGAAACCATATCATGTAATATCGACATATCATTAAGTAATGACTATATCATATTGAGTAATATCAAAACATCATTACGTAATGTCATATGTAAAGACAAAACATCATCAAGTAATAATAATACAACATAACTAATATCAGAGTACCACATAAGACAGTTATGGCGTTCCATAATATGTATTCTACTTTGTGCAATAATGAACAAGTGTTTATATTTACCACATGTCAAACCGAATCTAGTTGTGGATAAATTATTATTAAACTGCTATCAACGATCTCGAAATAAACAACGACAAATTATTCAAAGGACAAAAACAACAGCTGTAATACACTCAAACCACACTGACCAGGCTTTTGACATGAATCACGTGGCATGGTTTACAAAGTCCATTTTTTCTATAATCTTTGGGGAAAGAACAAGGTGAAGGAAGAAATATCATGATAAATATTAAAAGTTTGTTTTGAAAAAAAACACCTACCTCATTTTCATCGGTATTATATTTTACAAAAAAACCACACTAAATAATTATACCTTGTCAGAGTTTCAATTATTGAAGCTAATTACAATACTTAATCTGCTATTTAAGAAGTCATATCTGCTTATATTTCAGTTCGTTTTATTAATCTCGTATACTTATACTTCTAAAACTGATGATTGAGTAGCACGAACTCCTCGTCTCCTCGTAAAACTTCTGTGCTCTGGGCCGATATGCATAAAACTACTTAAGTTAAGATTTATTCCGAACGGACGGATTTTTCTACATGTCCTACGATAGATTAGTACTACGATTGGATATCTTAACTTAAGTGGTTTTATGCATATCAGCCCTGCAGATACTTCTTCACTTAATTTCGTTGCATAGTAGAATTTTGAAGTAACTGCGAATGCCGTCTTGAAATTTAAAATCGGTCGAAATTTGATTGTGCTGGTAAAGGATCCAGTCATTTGTAACTTAAATGGGGCTTGGAGGAAATAAAGGGGAGGTCGAAAAAAATATCACAAAAATGAGCAATTTTGTATTTCAAACATGCAAATGAAAATAAATAATTTGATGCATACACTAAATCAGTATCTGATTCCTATGCAGAAGTGTCTGTATCACTTGATTAAGATGTCATATCTTAACATGTAGCTCTTGTGGCATCAATTTTGTCCTCAGACATCATTTCAATGTTTTGTGTTCATGTATGTCATGGCCATCTTCTGTTTGCTGCTCCTAAAAAAAATCCAACATCAGATAATGCTGCTTTGATGTCTTAGTTTTTTAAGTAATTTTTTTGAGGTTTTCTGAATCTATCCATTTTCATAAGAACACTGATCATTCTTATAACTGTTGGTTTTTTTTTTACAAGATTCATCGAAATAACGCATGATCAAATATGTATTGCAAGAGTTACAGTCAAGGACTTAGATACTTTTTTCCAAAGCTTTCATTTTTTTCTTTTTTATTTGTTCATTTTCTTTAGTTTTTACCATACAAATCAGACGTTATATTTGATTTAGATACGGATATGTAAATTTTACATTATCATATTCAAACAACAGTTATGCAATAGTTGTGGATCCAGGGGGGTTTAAAGGGTTCGAAGTAAGAAATTTGTTTATTATTTGACATGCACAATGGTATCTACTTCACCATGTAATGTGCTATATCTGTTTGAATATTTTAAAGAATGATCTCTTAAACACTGTGTTGTGTCTGAGGATAATCAAGTATTTGGGGTTGGAATATAGTTATCTGTGACTAGACCAGGAATATTAGAATGCCTTTCACTCTACAATATCTATTAAGAGTATTTTTATTTTTATTTTATTTTTAAGTGTGCAATTGTGCCAAAAGCACACCTGATCATCTGTATATATGCAAATTATTTTACTTTATGACCTGAAGAGATGAATTCAGCCAGGGGCACACCCAACAACACTCTCAAAAGTCCGAAGAAACAAATGTTGCCGCGTTCCGTTCGACACAAATGGTAAGGTAACGCTCCCGCTGACTTCAAATCCTAATTTTCAAAATGAGAATTTTAATCAGAAGTTTACTACTTGAATAAAGGAAAGGACAAAGTAATAAAAATGTGTTAAAATGTTTAATTCTAACGAAGAAGGTGTTTAGTATAACCAAAACAGGCATGGAAGTTTCGTGATGTCAACACCAATTCCCAAACTACTGTTATGATATATATTTTGAATAGATTACATGCATGTAACAATAGTCTGTCAACACAAAATATAAGTATAGAGTTTTTTTTTGTTTTTTTATTTGGGGGAGGGGCGAAATTTTTAGATCTTTGGAAGGTGGTTCTTGAATTTATTTTCTTTTTTCAAGATGGGAGCTTGCAGAAAAATGAGAAATAAAAACATCTCCCCCGATGAATGAAAATGACCCAGTCCTTAGCTGAAATATCGCATCGTAGTTCATTATTTAAAATTGAGAGATTTTTTTCCAAGATAAATTTTGTGACAGCGGTCTATAATATATACGCAAATAGGCTTTCAAACTTTCAATCAGACCAGGTACGTAATGGATTTGTTTTGTAATTTGTAATTATTAATCGCTACCATATATAATTTATATAGCATAGTTAAAAGATTGGTTGTTGCTTAAAGCAATGCGGTAAATGATTCATGTATTCTATTTATTTATACATATTTATTTTATTTGAATTTACTCTGTTTCGCACTAGACCCTCTCACTAGTCAGGTTAACTTGTCTTTCGGCTTCTTGTCACTATAGGGCTTCCGTAGCCGAGTCGCCTAGGCAGTTCAAATACAGTGATCACAAGCCTTTCAAAACTAAAGTGGTGAGTTCGAACCACGCTGTGCGTTCGACTCCGATCTTAATTGACAAGCTAGTTTTCCTGCCAACGATCGGTTTTTCTCTTCGGTATTTAGACTGTATTTCCAAATGAAAAGTGGCCGCTTTAATAAAGCCAAGAGTGCTGAAAGTGGCGATAAACAAAAACAAACAAACTTATAAATATTTTCATTATAGAAAAGATATTTTTAAATCATAGATATAGATGAATTGTTGAGTGTTTCGTTTGCTATGCTTAATCTTATGTATTTTTGAAATGCAAACACGAAGATGAACTCTTTACAAATTTCAACTTTTCATTTATTTTCTCTGTTATAATTTAAATATTGTTCTTCTCTTGCAGGTTATACTAAAATGAAGAGATCTGGATGGAAATGAAAATGGCGAAGACTTTATTATTCGTAATGATATGTACAATACGTTTAAAAACGGCGCTGCTCTGTCCTACATTGTGTAATTGCAACGAAGAATACTACATTTACTGCGATAGCGTTTCGTTAAATGATAATCAGTTACCATTTGTACTAGCAGATGTTTCCGAAACTGCAACATACATAGATTTCAGTTACAACCTTTTACGAAATATCTCCGTTAATTTATTCACAAGATTTCAGCAGTTGAAATATTTGATATTTTCAGACAACAATATTCAGAATATAGATCCGGGATCTTTTGACCAGTTACCTAATTTGTTTGTTCTCGATTTGAGAAATAATAAACTTCAAACTATTGGAAGCAACATTCTTTCTGCACAGACAATTCTTAGTCGGTTATATTTACAAAACAATGATATTGAATCTATCCATCCAGATGCATTTCGGAATTTATTTCTTCTGAAAGAGTTGCATCTACAAAGAAATAAATTAACTACGTTACCATTAACTGTGTTCCGTGACATGCCGATGCTGACTTCTTTAAATTTGTTTGATAACAAATTAGAATTTCTGGCAGACGATACATTTTCAGGTTTGATATCTCTACGAAAATTGTTCTTGCAAAACAATGTTATTTCAAACTTATCGCAAAAAGCGTTGCATGGCCTTTCTAAAGTTAGAGCTTTATACATCCATGGCAACAGGATTCTGGGTATTGAAAAGATTCATTTTGATGGATTGCGATCGAGTATTCAGATTTTAAATATATCAGATAATCAAATAGCCGAAATCAAACAGGACACTTTCAAAGACATGTACAATCTTAAAACTCTGGACCTAACCAACAATGAAATACATGTTATAGAAAACTTTTCATTTGAGTTACTTTCCTTGGATAATTTATTATTACAGGGCAATAGCTTAACACATTTATGGAAGACATATTTCACGGGTGCGAAAAAAATAATGTGTCTTGATATAAGTTACAATAAACTCACAGATATTTCAAACGATGCGTTTGACAGTCTGCAGAACTCTATTCGTATACTCAAATTAAACAATAATCAAATAAAACATATCCATGTAGGTATGTTTAGAGGAATGAAGTATTTGCAAGAACTTAATCTCGCTAACAATCAAATAATAAACATAGATTCAAATGGATTTGAAGACTTGCAAAAGTTAAAAGTGTTAAACCTACATAAAAATCAACTAGAGTCTGTGAATGGTAAATTCATACGTGGATTAGCATCTCTTAAGGTTTTATACCTAGACTGTAATCCACTAAAGACTGCAATAGATTTCAGTTTTATCAATCCAATTCGAATTACAATGAATCTTACTTTGCTGGCAGTCATTGAAAACAGCGTTAACATATCCTGGCCTTTCAAACATGGCAGTCAGATTTATTGGTCAGTTACCGTTATTTGTGCACAACAAACCAAAAATTGCTTGGTAGATAGGAAACCAGAGTATTTCCCGCCATTTACGGAGAGTGTTTACTTAGCTAACTTATCGCCAAGCTCTACGTTGTATATTTGTGTAAGTCCCATTTTTATTAACAGTGACATTAGCATTAAGCAGTGTTTATATGTAAACACATTGGCCAAAGCAGCATCGACTGCAGAAAATCCTACTCTAACGACGGCACCAGTTTCAACGGGTAAACAAGTGCATCCAATACATTTTTTGTACGCAGAGTTTATTTATATATATTTTATTTTAATCTATCTTATACATGTAATCCTGAATTAAAACAGTTATCATCCTATATGTGTTATTAAAAGTTTCCGGACAAGCGACCTATAACAGATTTATAGAAAAACAAAGGATATAGGGTATCCATCCATGACATAAAATCAGTACATGCACAGCAAAAAAAAAACACACAAAAAGCAAAGGAACAGCGCTTTTATTGCTGTTCTTCATCTCAAAGTCACAGTGAACTTTGTTAAATCTGAGATATACAAAGACAACACTAGAAACTTGTATTAAACTACGAAGTAAAATACATTGTTAAAATATGCTATTCCAACATAACAAATTATATCTTTTTTTTATTTTTTTCGTTGGATTGCTGTCTCATTTACGTATAATATTCTCATAAATTTTCAATCATATCCCTCATACGGATGTTTCCCAAAAAAAACTATAAATGTCAGTAACTGCTCGTAGTCCTTTGTTAATTTATGTATTATTGTCATTTTGCTCATTTTCTTCTGTTACCTATTCTGACATCGGACTCGGACATCTTTTTAACTGAGTTTTACTGTGCGTGTTGCTGTGTGTTTATTCTACATTGGCTAGAGGTATAAGGGGAGGGTTGAGATCTCACAAAACATGTTTAACCCCGCCGCATTTTTGCGCCTGTCCTAAGTCAGGAGCCTCTGGCCTTTGTTAGTCCTGTATGTGTTTTTATAATTTTAGTTCATTTATATGTTTCGGAGTTTAGTGTGACGTCAATTTTCACTGAATTGTACACATTTTTGTTTAGGGGCCAGCTGAATCCCGCATCCGGGTGCGGGATTTTCTAGCTGTGTTGAAAACCCATTGGTGGCCTTGGGCTGTTTTCTGCTCTTTGGTCGGGTTGTTGTCTCTTTGACACATTCCTCATTTCCATTCTCAATTTTATACAGCACAGAGAAGACCAATAAGGTAACATAATGTTACTCAAAACTTTAGTACTCTATTTTTCTTCGACATAATGTGTCAATATACGAAAATAATTTGATATGCAATAAATGAGACTATTATCAATTTAAGACTAAAGGAAAACAACTGGTCAGCGGACGGACTTCAATCATGAGCAAAGCTCATGCCGTATTGTAAGCGACGAAAGGTCACAGTATGACAGAATTTAAAATAGAAAACCTAAACCCTAGTTGATGATAAAAAGCAACCAACGAAAACAATGAAGTACATGCTTCTGGCTTGGGACATGCGCATATAAGAATAATTATTAAAAACGGAAGTATTAACATCAATCCGAATCAAACGACTGGAAGGATATTTGGAAATACTTTTATTTTCAAATATTTTCCCAAAATATTTAATTCTAAATCATGAAAAGTGAAGATGACAAACTAACTGTTAATAAAATCATAAGCAAACATGATCACTTTGATTAATTTATTCCTGCAGTTATGTTACTCAAAATCAGGTCCACTTATTTAGTATTATAGATTTGATATATCCTGATTCAAGTTACAACGGACCGTCTCAAAATGACATTTTTGTCAATGATATTTGTTAAGTTTCAACACCTACTCATCCCATCGATATGAAAGTGAAACGCACGTCTGTTCACATGACTGAAGACACAAGGCGTCCGAGTGTTTGGCTTTTGAAACTTGAGATTTGAACATTACTGACGAACTCATCAAACTTAGAAAAATATGTATGTTATCCTTTGACTTATTTAAAATTGTTTGTACACTTTGTATCTACCTCACTACTTTTTTTATTGAATGCAATAAATTGAAAGATAAGAGATATTTTCAGAAAACAATGGCGGATTGAATGGATTGCTTTTTATATCGATCACTGCATATGCTAATTTTGACTATATTTAATTAAGGATGTTGGCTACTCTGTTTCAAAATAACAAGCTTTTTAAAAGACTGTTATAAATTGATAGTATATAAATAAAGGAACTAAAAAATCAGTAAAAAATGAAGGGTCCGTGTGATTGTTTTCGAGATATAAGCCTTTGAAAAGTTGGCGGGAAATAATTCTCTCTAGACTTTTCATACATTTAACATTGGCACCCTTTTTATATCAAAAACTATGAAAAAAATAACAAGAATGTTGTAGCATTTTGAAATATTGCTTTTTAAACTTTATGTAATAAAATAATGAAAAGAAAAATAAGGGTTAGCGGGGGAAATTTTTTAATGGCACTACATGGATAAAACCAGGGGATTCCGAATATCTGGCAAAAATTCAAAAACAAAAGGAGCGAACATCCTTAAGTTAAAAAAAAATGATTGTTAGATTTGAAATCAACATTACGTGCATGCTTTCAATAATATCTGTCTTTTTTTCTTTTCACCTAGATGTACACTTTTAAAATAATGCACGTATAGAAACAGGACAATACGTTGATAGTTAAATTTTATATTATATTACTGCACAACAACAAAAAACAGTCATTTTTATTTCATTAGTAAGAAAAAATGATAATATAAATACAGTTACAAGAATGATTCTTAAAATGTTCGATCTAACTTCCTTGCTTAAATGTTTTTCTAAGATAAAAAAAAAAAGAATAATACGTGTTACTGAACTATATATGATGTTCTATGAACATTTGCACACTCATTGCAACAGATACTAGACAAACTGAGCAGAGTTCACAAATTAACACCGCATTTCATTTTATTTATATATGGCAAAGTTTGCTGCGTAAAACACCAAATATCAACATATTAGGATCAAAAAGAATAGGAGAAACATATTTGGCAATATGAAAGAATGATTCTGTGAAAGTCTCATTAAAATAAGTTTAATTTTTTAGAAATAACTGTGTATACTAGACGTGTAAATATGTGTTGCACTTGCAAACCCCCAAAAGAAGCCGCAAATTGCTGTTAGATTCTAAAGAATCAGTGAAAAGAGCATAGCAATCTTGTCACTGTTTTTAGAAAGAGTTGCGGTAGCAAAATGAGGAAGGATAATTAAGATAACAGTATTTTACCAATGTTTAAATCGTATAAATAGATCAAGATAATAAAAATCCAAGTAACAAACAAAATGTTTTGGACAATCGCATGTACCCTCAAAGGAAGCTAGACCGGATGCATCGCTCTAGTAAGTGGGATATAAACAATGAACCAAAGTTGACTGAACACCAACTAATTTTATCAAATAGGAAAATCTAACTATAAACAGTATAATTTCACTTTTGAAAGATTGTCGATTGCTTAAAGATTTCAGAGAACAATACTTTTAGAATGGCAAATCGTTCACCAGAAATTTCCATAGTTGACTTACAGTGCTCTACATGTTATCGTTGCCAGAACATATTGAAAATCTGTCAATCAATTACGGATTATAGAATCTCACGCAAAATGAACGAAAGTCTATCAATCGATGGATCAATTTAGAAATTCCCAAAACCTAACATCATTTAGGATGACGGTGAGACAGACCGTAGAACTTCATTTACTACACTGTAAATCTAAGTGTTAATAAATAGAACACTGCTTGAACGCTTTTTTGTAACACTTTTTGAACGTGTAATGGTGTTCCAAATGTTTACACTAGTGTTCATCAATTGAATGTGTGGTGTTCAGTTTTTAATGCCTTTGTGTTTCATTTTTGAACACTTGATGTTAGAGTTCTTAACACTTAGTGTTCAACGATTTAACGTGTCCGAATGTTCAAAATGTTAATACGTCGACGCGTTCAACAGCCATGTAACATTTTTTGAACACATAGAACATGTTTAAAGCCAAAGTGTTAAGATTCAGAACACCAGACGTTAACTTTCAGAACAGTTGACATAAGTGTTCAAAGTGACGGTGTTCAAATGTGGAACATGTTCTATTTTCAAGCGTACATAATTTTCCATAAGTACTCAACTTAAATAAACTGTTATAAAAACTATATTCATTCAGGCAAAATATAACAATAAAACATATTTTAACAAGTAATTCCTTATGTAATCAAATGAGCATATTATATGTAAGAAAAGTACACCAGATACCTTATGATATCACAAGTAACAGTCAGTGAAATCACATACATAATGTTTTTAAACTGACTTAATATATATCATAAATAATGATTTTCCCCTACATGACTAGATAGTTGCAACATCATTTGTATCCTAACCAAAAAAGCATGTCAATGTGATAATTAGATAGTTTATGATATAGGTATTTGTCACAATGAAAGTTTAAAAGTTTGCAAATTCCAACAGTTCTTGTACGATCACATACAATGTACGCTCCACTTTTCAGTGCATCTTCACTTACAGCTATCAACTGGGTGGCATTTTATGTGTTGTTATCAACTTCCAATGTCAAAATCCTCCACAACAAGGAATGTCTATGAGTCTATATATCCTGCAAAAATAAAATTAAAAATTAATAGAAGAGAGTTTTGCATAAAGCATCAAATTATGCGATGCTTGTTATGCTTTAATGTCGATATATACTAGTGTACAAATTGATATTCTATAGCAATGAAATGCAAGTTTTGACATTATAAATTACAAAAGTCGATTTCTTGACCTAAGGTGAACAGATAGAAATGATACACCCACATAAGCTATTAATATACATATATTATCATACCTTTTTTCGACATCTTTCTTTTTTCCACCACTTTATAGCATGCAGAAATGACCTTTTTGGGATTATTGGATACCGGTTCCTACTTCAAACATTTTAATCTAACGATTCCTGCAAATAAAAAAACAAATGCATTTTCTAAGTCAAAAATGGCGTTCCAAATGTTTGCACTAGTGTTCATCAATTGAATGTGTGGTGTTCAGTTTTTAATGCCTTTGTGTTTCATTTTTGAACACTTGATGTTAGAGTTCTTAACACTTAGTGTTGATCAATTGAATGTGTGGTGTTCAGTTTTTAATGCCTTTGTGTTTCATTTTTGAACACTTGATGTTAGAGTTCTTAACACTTAGCGTTCATCAATTGAATGTGTGGTGTTCAGTTTTTAATGCCTTTGTGTTTCATTTGTGAACACTTGATGTTAGAGTTCTTAACACTTAGTGTTCATCAATTGAATGTGTGGTGTTCAGTTTTTAATGCCTGTGTTTCATTTTTTAACACTTGATGTTAGAGTTCTTAACACTTAGTGTTTAGCTAATGTATGTGGATGTCGAAAATCATCATTTATTCTGTATAACAGACAGACTGTTTATTCATCAGTTTAGGAAATCATCAGAACAAAGCTGACAGTTATTTACGTTTATATCTAAAGCCCGTTTTTTAATTCGTCTTTTATGTTGAATATTGAAAATTTGGATGTAACAGTTATGAATATTTGACAAATATATATCTGGCATGAGAAAAAAACACGGAAGCCATCGAACTACCTATGGAGATTATTCTAACTTGTTACTTACTTCTTTCGTGTTCATATGGGATAGAAGTCCCTTCTCCAGTTCTCTTTCTTATGTGTATCCATTCTTCGTTTAACCGCCTAAATCGCCAGCCGATATCTGTTTCCGGTATTTGGTATCCTGGTATATTTTTTTTTAACACGAGGTGTTCAAAATTTCGAGCGATTTGAACACTGATTGAACATGTAATGTTAATGAAATGAACGGATCATGAAATAAGATAAACATCGACATATTTTTATTACGATATTATCATAACAGGCCTCATTTATATGCATAATTATGTCACTTATAAGTAAAACTAGTATATATAAATAAATAATAAAATAAATTCATAAACTATACATATATGCCAGCTTGGAAGTTTAATATTTCACAATTACTAAAATATTAGCCAAAAATTCACAAGATCATCATCCTGCGTATACATTCATATTTTTTAAAGAATTTCTTTTTGAATTTGCCAATTGGAAGAATAGAAAATGGGACAAACGACTATCTTCTTTTTTAGATCAGAATTTGAACACCGGTGTTCACTGCGTCTGAACACACATGTTAATATTTTTAACACAAACGTTAAAACTTTGAACACATCTCTAAGCATGAACATATGACGTTAAAATATTGAACATTCGGTGTACAAATTTTGAACGCGTCCGGACGCGTCAGGCGTCTGGTATATTTACAGTGTAGAGCGGTAGTTACATTTCTCATTTATGTATCATAAAAACACATGACTAAATGGTCAAGTTATTGCTATTTATTCTTCGATCTTTAATCCAATGATGAAATGTCAGTAGTGCTTTTAAGTTTACTGTACTTGTTTGGTTATAATAAATGCACCATCAGAAATCTTATAAACTTGGTTTGTCTCGTTTTAAAAGATCAAGTTTTTCTAAAATTACGTACAATAGTCGAAATATGAATTTAAGTTTCTATGTTGAAAGATTGACAGATTTGACAATTGAATACACTTTTTGGAGAATGAAAATTCGATCAACATATGCATGCATATCGAAAAAGGTGATGAAGGTAATGTTAAAGAAGAAAAACATATTGTTTAAAGGAAAGGTTGAGAACTATGAATACCGAACATAATTAGCCGATCCTTTTGTTAAAGCGCACTCAATATCCTATTAAAGTCAACTGTTATGTCAGACATCTTACAAGTCCTTTTCCCGATGACCGATTGGTGGAAATTGCTTTTCAAACACTTCTTCAGAATTAAAATGGATATCAAAATGCAGCTCAAGGTCACTGATAGTATGTTCCCTATCGATCCATTTCTTATTCGAATACACACGGGGTCTGGTAATTTACTGTTACTATCAGCACTTGCAGTATTTTTGTTATTATCATCACTTGCAGTAAGTTTTGTCCTGTAATAGAAGGTAAATATTCATTAGATGAGATTATACTATTATATTTAATACGGAAATATAAGATGCATCACATTCGCATTTCAATTGCTGATAAAACTAAGCAGAAAAGTAGAACATGTATGTATTGTTTGCCGCTGGGCTTGGCTTTTAACAGCCATCAATGTTGATTGAATCAAAATATTTTAAATGATGAACATATCTAACGTTGTAAGGCAATACATCCGATATAATATCAACTTAACTAGGAAACCATTCATGACATGCTTGCACTATCACCTTTCTATGTTCAGTGAACCATGAAATCTTGCCCCAACTATTATTTGGGTCGTGTTGCTTAGTCTTTAGTTTCTTTGTTGTATGTTATAGACTGTTGTTTTTCTTTATGTATTTTTTTTTTGCCATTGCGTTGTCAGTTTGTCTTCGACTTATAAGTTTGAATATCCCTTTAGTATCATGCGTCTCTTCTTGAGTTACTTGTTTTAAAAGTTCACATAATATATATCATTAATTATCAGGTTGATGTGACCTAAACGTCATAATTATATACATTATCAATGAACAATAAGATGTTACGCACCATCATATTTCCATGTTTAGTGTTTTGAAAAATCTGGGTCAAAATCCTATGTATGCATATCTTTTGAAAAGTTAACATGATAATAAACGTAAGCTAAAAGCATTAAAGATACTATAGACTATTAATTTTGTCCCATAAGAATCATCAGTGGCATTCCAATCAAAACAGATATAAGGCCAAATAAGAAGATGAATAATATTGAAAACCAATAATTCCAAACGCTTTACAAAATACAGCTAATGCCATCATAGCCCGGGTAAAAAACCCTTAGTGTTTAAAAAAATTAACATTTTATAAACAGTTGCCAAACCGTTACATTTCTATTTCAGTGTAAATAAATGATGAACATGAGTACTAATTTTTAAGTTGATGTGAAATACATAAAGTACATTTTGGCAAGCATGTAATGGAGACTCTAAGATTTCTGAGATTTTGGTTATTTTTATATTTATGAAAATACTCCCTTTTAGCAACAAGGACGCGGTGATTGTCATCGGACATTATTGCAACTTATTGCAACGTCTCGTTCTTATTTCTATCCGATTGTATACTGCATTGTCTTACTTGGTGAGATATTTGTAGCAGATTATTCCAATTACAAAAGCACCAACAAATACTCCGAGTATGGCAGGCACAACAGTTAATATTATATCTGAAAAGAAATGATCCTCTTATAAACCCAAAATTCTTAAAATTGTTTAACGAGCGTAGAAAGCCTTTCATCGTCCAATTATGTCTGAAATTCGTGGCTAAAAAATCTGTCTTTCTTCAATTCAGTGTCAGTTTATGGTTTTTGCGGCTTCATATATTAGCCGTTCTTGTCATTGCTGAAGATTTTAACGTAATCGCTTAAATCAGAATAAAGTCAAACTTCTATTTTCCTTTCTTTAGTCGAAATTATATTCAATTATTTTCAATTGTTTTAGTGTTTCGGGCCGAATCCTTATATCGTTGATATGTCAAGTCAATCCACTATTATTGTCTTCACATATTTACAATGTGGCTATCGCTATTTTAAGAAGAATAAGAAGTTCAAAACGTTATGTACATTAACCGTGCGTAACGTCGCACGAAGTAATCCCGACATTTCAGAGGGGAATATGATCCTCAGAATGGAATATGAAGATTTGTTCAATGACACGTGGGATAGTCTCAACCAATCAGATATTGATTAAACTATCAATATGTTTAAACAGTGGAATAAAATGATTTATAGTTTGCAAACCAAAAATATTAACAAATGAAATATGTTTTTTTTCTAAAAATTGCAAAAGAAATAAGTTAGAGTCGTTGTATACATTGGAAACAAGAACTGGTTGAATAGGTCGTATGAATAATTAATTATAATTTCGGCAATTTCTATTTAAATATTCATGAGGAAAAGTGATATCAGGTCAGTGACTGTATATGACATAGAAATATACGGTCAACGCATTTTGACTGCTCAAATAGAACGAGTGCAGTATAAATACATATATTAATTTACAGTGATTGTATGCTTCTAAAAATAGATTTTAGTCCTCAATTGTAACTGTTACAATTTAGGACTAAAATCAACAAAGACCCTTCTAAACAACATATCTGATACAAAAATATTGGCTCTCAATAATGACGACTTCAGTAAAAAGGTTTATCCTGCTGAACTGACTTTAAATAAAGTTAATACTAACAATGAACACTGCCCTTTCCTGGATCTTGATATCTATATCTTTAACGGGAAGCTTAATACCAAAATTTACAACAAAAGAGATGATTTTTCATTTCCTATTGTTAATTAATTTACCCATTTGAAATGGTGACGTTCCCTTGTCACCATCTTATGGTGTTTATATATCTCAACTTGTTATTCGCTCGTGTATGTAACAACGTATTTGATTTTAACGAAAGAAATCACTGTATAACTGAAAAATTATTACACCAGGGTTTTCGATATTACAAACTAGGACATCATTCGTAAATATAAATCAACATGCAGACATCTTATACGTTCAGGTATTTCACATCCAATCTTTTATGGTAATATTCTATACAAACCATAAAAATGTCGTCATTCACCTCAAAAGCTAACCAAACCTTTAAACAGACTTATTCAGAAGGGATATAGTTACGATATTGTTGGCAGGTCATTAAAGATGGCATATTTTGGAATTAATATTGATTCACTCATAGGGTCTTTGCATCGGAAATAAACACATGCATTTATTCTAAAACCAGTTGTTGGCATGATACATGTTATGTTCTTCTCATATATTTTATAATATGATACTAAACCCTAACGGGGGGATTGTGCTTGATTTTCATATGATGAAGACATAATCTTTTAATTAGTTTAATTGAGGTCTGGAGCTGGCATGTCAGTAACTGCTAGTTGTCCTTTGTTAATTTATGTATCATTGTCATTTTGCTTGTTACTGTACCTATTTTTACCATCGGACTCGGACTTATTTTGAACTGATTTTCTGTGCGTATTGCTGTGTATAGATATAGGAAGATGTGGTATGAGTGCCAATGAGACAACTCTCCATCCAAGTTACAATTTATAAAAGTAACCCATTATAGGTCAAGGTGCGGCCTTCAACACGGAGCATTGGCTGACACCGAACAGCAAGCTATAAAGGGCCCCCAAAAATTACTAGTGTAAAACCATTCAAACGGAAAAACCAACGGTCTAATCTATATAAAAACGAGAAACGAGAAACACGTATGAACTACATAAACAGACGACAACTACTGTAATCAGATTCTTGACTTAGGACAGGTGCACAAACATTTGGAGCGGGATTAAACATTTTAATGGTACCAAACCTTCTCCCTTTTCTGAAACAATAGTATAACATCACAACATAGAAAAACACACTATAAAATATCAATTGGAAGGCTTAACTCAATCAAAAAACGTAAATTAACACACAACGAACGAATAAATTTGACCTGTGACACCTGAATGCAAATACACAGTTAATAAAAAATTACAAGGGATAAATAATTAAAGTCAAAAGTAAATAAACAGGTTTAAACAAAGTTAAAGTATGATATCACTGTGAAATGTCAAACAATTTTTAGAAAATCATCACTTTTGTTTATTCTACATTGCCTATATCTAGAGGTATTAGGGGGGTGAGATCTCACAAAACATCTTTAACCCCGCCGCATTTATGCGCCTGTCCCAAATCAGGAGCCTCTGGCCTTTGCTAGTCTTGCATGTGTTTTTAATTTTAGTTCATTTATATGTTTCGGAGTTTAGTGTGACGTCTATTTTTACTGATATAGTACACATTTTTGTTTAGGAGCCAGCTGAAGCCCGCCTCCGGGTGCGGGATTTTCTCGCTGTATTGAAGACCCATTGGTGGCCTTGGGCTGTTTCCTGCTCTTTCGTCGGTTTGTTTTCTCTTTGAAGCATTCCCCATTTCCATTCTCGATTTTATGAATTTATATATTGAACTTTTCAAGAATATATATATTTAACGTTTTGTGAATATATATATACAACGTTTTATGAACAATTATTTAATTCTAAGAACAAATATTTCGTTTTTATGAACAATTATTTGCTTTTATGAAATTTATAATTTTATCTTAACGTGATCTCAGCTCTAAACTCTCACGAGTTCCACGTTTACCGTAATATCATAATACGGAAAGTCTCTCGCCAGACCCATTTGTAGTTACAGAATTCCAAGCTCCATCGTACGTAAAAAAAACGAATTTTCTGTAGATTTCGAAAAAGGATCTAAATTATCTAAATTTCACCTGTCTACAAATTATTTCTCTTTTCCAGTAGTATTAATCAAAGTACTGAAGTACTGAACATCGGATGACCACAAGTTCTTGAGGATGGTCAAAAGCACTTGTCTCAGAAAAAAACAACATATCTATTACCTAAAACTGAGGTTAATGTACAGAGATATATTTTTTTCTGAGACAAGTTCGTGCGTGGATGATGAATAAATGACAGGAAATTCAACTTCACCGTAATAACTATTATATTGTAGTGATACAAATCAGTATACACTGAGTTGTTGTTTATATTATATTAAAATAACAGTTACATATATATATATGATTTGAATCCATTTGTATATCATTCTATTCTACTATTCTAAAAATAGTGCAATGCAAGTGCATGGTGGACACTTTTCTGTAAAAATTCGATTTTTCTAAGATTGGATACGAGTAGGCATTCATATTTTCCCGTAAAATCAATTACAGAGTTACCGGTCCTTGACGGTATTTTCACAAAACGTTCTTTGAGATATTCTTCCGCATGCTTTAACACAATTTTTCGGTACGTGTGCATTGATATTATCAATGATTTTTTACTTATATATATATATCTAACTACAAAACATTTTCATATTATTAATTTATGTTGTAAACAAAAAT